AGCCACAGCGCCACTTCCAGCTTTTTTCTTTTTGCTTATGTGGTGCTGAGGAATTGAACCCAGGGCCTCATGCATGCAAGGCAAGTGCTCTACCACTAAGCCACCTTCCCATACCCTAGGCTATAGTTTTATGATGCAGATGCAATGATTGCAAACCATGTTTTTCCTTTGCTAGTTATGTTGTTAGCCTCTGTCAATCAGTAGAGCAACTGAGGAACAAAGGATACTTCCTATTGTTGACAGGAACACTCAGAAGGTACATGCTGAGGAATCGAACCCAGGGCCTCATGCATGCAAGGCAAGCACTCTACCACTGAGCCACCTTCCCAGCCCTAAGGTATGTTTCTCTACCGGAACAGTGGCAGTTCATTCCAGTAACAGTCAATTCCAGTTGCAGTTTTCTAACCCTTGCAAAACCAGTTTGACATAACCCTGTCAGCAACATCAGCAAAACTAGCCAGCTGCTAGCTCTCAGACCCCCTTTTCAAAGGCTCCCTCAATTTTCTCAATTATTATTATTATTAACTTTGTACCAGGGCTTAAAGTTCAAGAACTCATGCTCTCATTAAGCTTTCTTATTCACACCTGGTGCTCTTCCATTTGAGCCATGCTTTCAATTGGATTTTTACTGGCTAATTGGAGATGGAGTCTCTTTTCTGCCTAGAGCTAGCTTCAAAGATACAGGTGTGAGCCATTAAGTACCAGACTCAAAACTTCTAAATTTTATTAATTCTAATCTCTTCCCTTCTTCAAGTGCTTCAGAGTGTCTTAAAAGTTGATATTGTGTCATCTTTTAGCCTTTCTAGTATTCTAATACTTGAACAAAAGCTTGTTATAAGCCAGGCACCAGTGGGTCATGCCTGTAATCCTACCTACTCTGGAGGCTGAGATCTGAGGATTTCGGTTCAAAGCCAGCCCAGGCAGGAAAGTCCGTGAGACTCTATCTCCAATTAACCACCAGAAAAACAGAAGTGACCCAGTGGCTCAAGTGGTATAGCGCTTGCCTTGAGCTATAGCGCTCAGGGACAGCGCCCAGGCCCAGAGTTCAAGCCCATGACTGACCAAAACAAAAGATTGTTATATTAAATACTTCCATCTCTACAACATGAATAGACCTTAATGACATCACACTTAATGAAACAAACTAGTCACAAAAATATCTTCTGGGTCTACTACATATAAAATGTCTAGAGGGGCTGAGAAGGTGGCTCAGTGGTAGAGCACTTGCCTTTAGCTGAACAGCTGAGGGACAGTGCCCAGGCCCAGAATTCAGGCCCACGACTGGACCCAAAAAAAAAAAAGTCTAGAATGGATTAATCTATAAAAACATAAAATAGACTAATAGACTAATGGCTACCTAGAGATGAAGTGGTATCAATTTGAAGGCAATGATAAATCAAGCTGTACTGCATGAGTTATACCTATATAACACTTATTTTTAAAAATGTGTGTGTCTGGGGCTGGGAAGATGGCTCAGTGGTAGAGTGCTTGCCTTGCATGCATGAGGCCCTGGGTTCAATTCCTCAGCACCACATAAGCAGAAAAAAAGCCGGAAGTGGTGCTGTGGCTCAAGTGGTAGAGAGCTAGCCTTAAACTGAAGAGCTGAGGGACAGCACCCAGGCCCAGAGTTCAGACAACCAAAAAAATAAAATAAAATGTGTGTTCCAGTATGAGGCCTTTAATCAGGGCCTGGGGACTGTTTGTTCGATTTTTTTTCTTTTTTTGGAGGGGAGGGGGGGGTGTCCGGTCGTGGGGCCTGAACTCTGGGCCTGGATGCTGTCCCTCAGCTCTTCAGCTCAAGGCTAGCGCTCTACCACTTGAGCCACAGCGGCACTTCCAGCTTTTTTCTTTTTGCTTATGTGGTGCTGAGGAATCGAACCCAGGGCCTCAGGCATGCAAGGCAAGCACTCTACCAATGAGCCACCTTTCCAGCTCTGTTTGTTAGATTTTTGTTTGAGGCTGACATTCTACCACTTGAGCTACAGCTTGACTTTTGGTGTTTTAGTGGCTAACTTAAGATAAGAGTCTTGCATTGGCCGGGCCCTGGTGGCTCACACCTGTAATCCTAGCTACTCAGGAGGCTGAGATCTGAGGATAGCAGTTGAAAGCCAGCCCAGGCAGGAGAGACCATGAGACTCCTATCTCCAATAAACCACCAGAAAACCGGAAGTGGCGCTGTAGCTCAAGTGGTAGAGCGCTCACCTTGAGCTGAAGAGCTGAGGGACAGGGCCCCAGGCCCAGAGTTCAAGCCCCACGACGGACTTAAAAAAAAAAAAAAAAGAGTCTTGCAAACTTTCCTGCTTGGACTGGCTTCAAACTGTGATCCCAAAATCTCAGTCTCCTAAGTAGCTAGGATTACAGGCAGGAACTAGACATCCAGCAAAGCTGTTTTTTGTTGGTAATGGGGCTTGAACTCAGGGCTTGAGGCACTTTCCATGATCTCTCTTGCTCAAGGCTAGCACTTTACTACTTTGAGCCACAGCTCCACTTCCAGTTTTTTAGTGGTTAATTGGAGATAAGAATCTCATTGACTTTCCTGCCTGAGCTGGCTTGAACTGTGATCCTCAGATCTCAGCCTGTTGAGTAGCTAGGGTTATAGGGGTAAGCCACAGGTCGTAAGGCTGGGCTTAAGGCTATTACTTTTTTTGGGGGGGGGGGGTAGGGGGGTCCTGAACTCTGGGCCTGGGCACTGTCCCTCAGCTCTTCAGCTCAAGGCTACCACTCTACCACCTGGGCCACAGTGTCACTTCCGTTTTTTTCTGCTTATGTGATAATGAAGAATCGAGGGTCTCATACTTGCCAGGCAAGCACTCTACCACTAAGCCACTTTCCCAGTCCAAGGTTATTATTTTTAAAGAATTATTTCTACCACTGTTTCTTTTTTTTTTTTTTTGTCAGTCTTGGGGCTTTAACTCTGGGTTTAGGCAGCTCTTCAGCTCAAGGCGAGCGCTCTACCACTTGAACCACAGCGCCACTTACCACTGTTTCTTTCTGGTATGATTGTTTCTCCATTCTCTGGATAATTTTAGGATTAAAACTAATAATGTGAATGGGCAAGGACTTGGTTCTGTCCAAGCTATCTATTTGGCTCATTATGAGAGAGACTGATATGATGTATGTGGAAATGTCTAAACACTACTAGCTTTTCTGCCTTTCATATCCTTGGATAGTAAATTTCTCCAATACAAATTTTTACATGACAATTTAGAGTTAAAGCGATGTCATCAATATCAATCAAGATCACAAAACAATACTGTCTTTGGACAACTCTGTTTCAATTTATATTTCATGAAAGTAGTAAGGGTAAATTCAAAATTCTTTTTTAGAAAAGAAATATGTTCTGCCAGGAAATGGTGGCTCACGCCTGAAATCCTAGCTACTCATCAGGAGGCTGAGATCTGAGGACCAGGGTCCAAAGGCAACCCAGGCAGGAAAGTCTATGAGACTCTTCTTTCCAATTAACCACCAGAAAACCAGAATTGGTGCTGTGGCTCAAGTTGCAGAGCTGAACAGCTCAAGGACAGCGCCCAAGCCCAGAGTTCAAGCCCCACAACTGACCAAAAAAGAAAAAGAAAAAGTGCATATGCACATACATGCACATATTAATTCAAAAAGCTAAAAACAAACATGGTTTGTAGTGATGAAACAGTTCAGTATCCTGGTAGTAATAGCACTTATGAGTCTACATTGAATCAACTGCATAGAAACACCCACACAAATGAGTGCATGTAAAAACTGACAACAACTCATAAGGTCTGTAGTCTAGTTAAAAATACCAATGACAATTTCCTTGTTTTGATATTGTCCTACAATTACACGAGATGTCATCATTGGTTCAAAGAATTCTAGGTATTCTTTAGCAATTTTCTCTGACTACCATTATTTCAAAATAAAATAAAAATGTAAGGAAGTCATGACTTTCATAAAACAACTGCCTAAAGTATACTTATTAATAAGTACTATGAAAACAATACAAAATGTTATACAAATATTTAACAACATTTTTCTGTACGTGTAGCATACAAAACGTCCCAACATTTTTGTTGATGTTGGCCACAGGGCTTGAACTCAGGACATGGGTGCTGTTCTGAGCTCTTTTTGCTAAAAGTTAGTGCTCTACCACTTGGAGCCAAAGTACCACTTCGGTTCTCTGGTGGTTAATTGAAGGTAAGAGTCTCACGGACTTTCCAGCCTGAGCTGGCTTTGAACCACCATTCTCAGATCTCGGCCTCCTAAGTAGCTAGAATAACAAGTGTGAACCATCAGCGCTTGGCTCCAAAATGTTTTTACAGTTATGTTTTCACTATCCTTACAACATCTCCATGAAAAAATATAAAACAATCTTCATTTTAGAGATGGGTAAACCAATGCCTCAAGAAGGTTAAGTCCCATACCACAGTATATAGTAAGCAAGTCAAAGAATTTGTTGGCAGCATGACATGGTAGAAAGATATGTGCTTCAGAATCATAGACACAAGATTCTAAACTTAGCTCACTACTTGATATGTGACTTGATCCAGTTACTCAAGTTTTCAGAGTCTTATTTCCTCATATGTAAAATGCTATTAATACTATCAGATCACTGGAATGCTGTAAGGATTTAAGAAGATACTATTTACCTAGTATGGTGTTTGACACAGAGTTAATGTTCAATAAATCACATCAACTTATTCCGATGGTTTCTTCTTAACTTTTCTATGTAGACTTTGAGAAACTTGGAGGAAACCTTTATTGTTAGCAAGTTAACTATGGGCCCATCACAGATTAAAATTCTATTTTACCATTTCTTACCTAAAACAAAGCCAACTTGAATGGCTTTCTCCTTGACTGCAGCATCTGATTCTGCTATGTAAGAGCACCGTCTACTGAATGAGTAGGCCAAAACTGAAGCCACTTTAACACCATGATCCATCAAAGCCTGAAAACAATGATGAAGCAAATGTCTGAAAGAGAAGGAAAGTTATTTTATAGAGGTAAGTTATTTTTGTCCTTTTAGAGAGCTAGTTGCCCCTGGGTGGGGGGGGGGGGAGGTGGAGAGTAGGGGTGGGGGTTGGGAAGAAGGGTGTTACAGTGGATATGCTAGGTTATTCTAAGGTAAAGCGAAGTTCTTCAAGATCTAAGTGGAAAGGGGCTTAGAAGCTTACAGCAAGGTGAGTCCTGGGCCCTCACACTTAAATAGAGCAGTCAGAGGCCTGACTTTAGCAGGTGCTGGCAACAGGTACTTATCCTTGTCCCATACAGTAGGAGTAGTGCTGGGCCTGGTCCCACAGTTATTTATTGCTACACATAGTATATGTGCTATATAAGATTTTATTTACTTTGTATATGATCAAGAAATAGCTTTTTTTCTTTTTTGCAAGTCCTGGGGCTTGAACTCAGGACCTAGGCACTGGGATTCTTTTGCTCAAGACTAGGACTCTTACCACTTGAGCCACAGCGCCACTTCTGGCTTTTTCTGTTATGTGGTATTGAAGAATAGAACATAGGGCTTCTATGCATGTCAGGCGCAAGCACTCTACCACTAAGACACATTCCCAGCCCAAGAAATACCTTTTTATTTATTTATTTTTGGTCTGGTCGAGGGGCCTGAATTATGGATGGGCCTGGGCGCTGTCCCTCAGCTCTTCAGCTTAAGGCTAACACTCTACCACTTGAGCCACAGTGCCACTTCCAGCTTTTTTCTTATGTGGTACTGAGGAATCAAACCCAGGGCCTCATGCATGCAAGGCAAGCGCTCTACCACTGATCCACCTTCCCAGCCCAGAAACACTTTTTTACTAATAAGAAAAAGAAAAAAGCTTTAATAATCAATTATAGGGCTAGCAATGTGGCTTAGTGGTAGAGCGCTTGCCTAGCATGCATGAAGCCCTGGGTTCAATTCTTCAATACCACATAAACAGAAAAAGCCCGAAGTGGTGCTGTGGCTCAAGTGGTAGAGTGTTAGCCTTGAGCAAAAGAAGCTCAGGGACAGTTCCCAGGCCCTGAGTTCAAGCCCCAGAACTGGCAAAAGAAAAAAAAAAAAAGATCAATTATAACACTAATAGCTCCCATCCGTAATCCTAGTTACTCAGGAGGCTGAGATCTGAGGATCCCAGTTCAAAGCCAGCTCAGGCAGATAAATTTGTGAGACTTTTTCTCAAACTAACCAGTAAAAGACCAAAAGTGGAGACATGGTTCAAGTGGAAGAGACAGCCTTGAACCAAAAAGCCTAGTGATAACTTGAGATCTTGAATTCAAATCCTAGAATCAACACCAAAAAATAATAATTCAATAATAAAAAAGAACCCAATTACAACTAGGCAATAATTTGAGTAGACCATTTTCCAAAGAAGATATATTGCTGGGCACCAATCGATCACACTTGTAATCCTAGTTACTTAGGAGGGTGAGATCTAAAGATCATAGTTCCAAGCAAGCACAGGCAAGAATGTCTGCAACTTTTTTTTGGTAGATTGTGTGGCTTTAGCTCTGCGCTTGATCATTGTCCCTGAGCTCTTTTGCTCAAGGCTAGAGCTTTACCACTTGAACCAAAATGTTATTCCAGTTTTCTAGTGGTTACTTTAAGATATAGACATTCTGGCTTTCCGGACTGGTTTTGAACTGTGATCCTCAGATCTCAGCCTCCTGAGTAGCTAGGATTACAGAGGTGAGCCACCAGCATCCAGCTTCTGTGAGATTTTTATCTCTAATTAACTACCAAAAAAGCTGGAAGTGGAGCTGTGGCCCAAGTGGTAGAGTGTTAGTCTTGGGTAAAATAGCTCAGGGACAGCACCCAAACCCTGAGTTCAAGCCCTAATACTGGGCACCAAAAAAAAAAAAAATACAGTCAGTAAACACAAGATGCTTAATATCATTAGTGAGTAGAGAATTATAAATTTAAATTACAATCACAGTGAGTTATCACTTCATGTCCAATAGAATTTTTTTAAGTATAGGCAGCAAAACAAATACAATTTAAAAAAATGTATAGACAAGATATAAAAAGCTGAACCCTTACAAATGGTGACAGGAATGTAAAATGATATACCTGCTGTGAAAAAAATGTAACAGCTGCTCAAAAAAAAAGGTAGCATGAGGTCATCCTGTGCATATACCCTAGATATATAATTAAGAGAATTGAGAATGTGTCCATACAAAAAAGCAAAACAGTGGTTGCAGGGAATTAGTTATTATTAACTATGAGTTATTATTAATGACTAAAATGGTTTTTGTCTGAGATGGTAAAAACACTCTGGAAATGGATAGTGTTGATAAAAGGTAAATAAATTGAATGTCACTGACATATATCCTTAAGTGTGGTAAATTTAGGTTGCGTGATAGTGGTTCACGCCTACAATCCTAGTTCCTCTGGAGGTTAAGATCTGAGAATCCTGGTTCAAAGCCTCCCAGAGTAGGAAAGTCCATAAGACTCTTTTTGTTGTTGTTTGTAATGGGGCTTGAACTCAGGGAGCTGTCCCTGAGCTCTTTTGCTCAAGGCTAGCACTCTACCACTTAGAGCCACAGCTCAATTTCCAGTTTTGAGTGGTTAATTGGAGATAAGACTCTCATGCATGGGCTGGGAAGGTGGCTCAGTGGTAGAGTGCCTGCCTTGCATGCATGAGGCTTTGGAGTCGATTCCTCAGCACAATATAAGCAGAAGAAGTCACAAAAGTGCCACTGTAGTTCAACTGGTAGAGCACTTGCCTTGAGCTGAAGAGCTCAAAGTTCAAGCCCTACAACCGACCAAAAAAAAAAAAAAACTCATGCAGACTTTCTGCCCAGGCTAGCTTCCAACCCTGATCCTCAGATCTCAGTCTCCAGAACAGCTAGGATTATACATGTGAGCCACTGGTATCTGGCTTCTGTGACACCCTTATCTCCAATTAACCACCAAAAGCTGGAAGTGGCATGCGGCTCAATTGCACAGCCACAGTAAGAGTCTTGAGCATATCAGCTCAGCCCTGATCGGGACCAGTACAAAAATAAAGCAGGGGAGGAGAGGGGCTAATTTAATATGATCTATATATCTGTATTTTGCCACTTTAAAAAAATAAAAAAGTACTTAGGCAGACTGGGAAAGTGGCTCAGTGGTAGAGTGCTTGCCTTGTTTGCATGAGGCCCTGGGTTCGATTCCTCAGCACCACATAGGCAGAAAAAGCCGGAAGTGGTGCTGTAGCTCAAATGGTAAAGAGAGCTAGTCTTGAGCTGAAGAGCTGAGGGACAGCGCCCAGGCCCAGAGTTTGAGCTCCATGACTGACATTCTTAGGCCCGGGCACCTGTGGCTCACGCCTGCAATCCTAATTACTCAGGAGTCTGAGATCTGAGGATTGTGGTTCAAAGCCATTATCTCCAATAAACCACTCAAAAAACCGAAAGTGGCACTGTGGCTCAAGTGGCACTGTGGCTCAAGTGGTAGCGCTAGCCTTGAGCTGAAGACCTGAGGAACAGTGCCCAGGCCCAGAGTTCAAGCCCCAAATCCCCCCCCCACACACACACGCGCGGCATCACACACACACACACACACACACACACACACACACACAC